CGGGGGCCTGGGGCGCTGGGGAAGCAGCAACCAGAGCCGGGCAGAACCGAGCTGGGCAGAACCGGGCAAAACCGAGCTGGGCAGAACCAAGAGGGGCTGCACTGGGTAGAACCAAGCYGGGCAGAACTGAGAGGGGTAGAACCCAGCCGGGTTGTGCTGGGCAGAAACAAGCTGAGCAGAACCGAGCTGGGCTGCAGTGAGCCGGGCCAAGCTGGGCCTGGCAGAACCGAGGCAGGTTGTACCAGGGAGGACCAGGCAGCCGGTCGGCTGGCTCCGCTGCGCGGCCCACGGGCTCCCTCTGCCGCGTCGCGGAGCCTCCGCAGCACCTCGGGTTTTAACCAGCACAAACACACTTTACAGCAAAGTCATATGAGCCCTAGATCCACTCATTAACGCTTTGTGATGATTTTCCATAGGTAAAAATGATCAACACACTTTTTTTTCCCCCTCTACAACAAAAAATCTCCACTGGAAGTTATGCAGCAGTCTGCATRTTAGGAATTCCCTGCAATCACTTAATTTAACTCAATACAACAGCAGGTCCCACGTGGCATTTTSCTGTTATTAAGCTGATGGCTGGTCTCTTGGAAACAATTTATTTCTTGCCCTTTATCAAGTTGTGCAGTAAAAGAGAAATACCTTTTGCCAAAGAACCGGTCCAGAGACGAAATTCCCAGGCTCATCCAGATGAAGGTGTGTCGGAGTTGTTCCCACAATACAGGAGCATCTCTGGGTTTTTCCTTCTTTGGGTATTTCAAGTCCTGTAATAAAAAAACACCACTGAGAAGGCCGTGTTCTCATTCACTCGTTTTCATGAGATGAATTGAGAAGCACACGAGAAAGCTGGGAACACACAGGATTATTTTTATGTATGTATGTACTGCAGGAGGGGGTGAAGGCAGCGGCCGCGCTGATCCGTGGGGGAATGTCCCTGCACATGGAGGTAGGATCCGAGTGGGAGCTGCAGCTTGGGGGCATCTCCCCCGTGGCAGGGGATGCATCATTTGCACGACAGCATCATTTGAACATCCTCCCCCAAGTGTTTTCAGCAGAGGTAGGTTCCGATGAGTCAAAATTTTGATTTCTGACAAGYCACGCTGGTCAGGGTCTCCACGAAACCAGCCAGATCCTAGGAAGTCCTGCTGGGAAGCGGGAACTTTCCGAAGCTGCTGGTGGCCTCCTGCAAGGAGAGACGGCGCCGTCCAACGCGGCTGTGGCCGGTGCACTGATCCTTGAAGGAAGTGGGAGAGCCTGGACAGGCCTAGAGGAAGGTGCTGCAAAAGCATGAAACTTTGCAAAGTTACTAATAGCTAATGCTAATAAGGAGGGCAAAATATAACAACACAGGGTTCAGTCTGTGTCCTTTTGCCAAAGGTGAGGAGGGAAAATATTTGTACACCCGAATAATGCAACATGCAAAAGGAGGCCGGACRGCCAAATCTTGCCGGTTCTTACAGGTGTGTCCTCTCTTTTCCTACCAGAAGCAGTGTTTTCCCAGCATACATTACAGATCTTGGGTGTTTTTAAAAAAATCAAATAAATAAAAATTAAAAAAAAACCCCACCACATAGCTCTAAAATTAAAAAAAAACTTATTTGATGTTTTCTTTGTGTTCAAAAGCTTTCACAAACATCAGTAAGACTTGCTGGGAGATACTATGCTCAGACAGAGGAAGAGTTCTGCCTGGGGTAGAAGAGGCAAATTTCCTACCGTGGGTACAAAACTTTAATGCAGTCCCCAGAAAGCTGGAGGCAGGAGAAGGGGAAGGAGAAGCTCCGGAATCAGGGCAGGACAGCGTTCCCGTTCCTGCACGAGCCGTTTATAGAACTGGAATTTCCCAGCTCTTCTGGGCCGTGGTTTTGAAGGGTCCTGGCTTAAGTCAGAGCTTTAGGGGTGCATTTTTAGGGGTGCATTTTTAAGCAGGACCACCCACCATCRCTCTGTGTGCTGGGGCAGCCTCCTCATGGCCAGAATCACATCCSCTTTTCTGCTGGGTTTTGTAAGCAGGGACAGAGGGGAAGGAGACGTTGCTTGGTTCATCCCAGCAAAAGGGGAAGTTCTCCCCTTAATTCTAGACGTTTTTTAGCGCGTGCCAGACGTGATGCAACAGGGCTGCTACTGCTGCGAGCTTGCTCAGCCTGCAGCATCCYAATATCGACTCTGAAATCGCTGGTTTCATTAAAGAGCTGTTTGCTTGCTGGTCTGCTTCCTTTTTCTCCAGGTAAAAAGGAAGCTCCACCAGGAAATGGTCACCAATTCACAGCTATTCCCTTGATTAGATTTTGGATCAGTGCATGACAATCTAGCTCATATGGAAAAAGGACCAAATAGGAAACATTATAAATATTATATTATATTTTAAATATTCAAACATATATATTATGCGTAGGCCACCCGGTAAAGATCAGTATCATTTAAAGATTTTACCTTTTCTGTGCATAACAGCTGAATAACAATCACTGCAAAGCGAAGCCCAGGGGTGCTCAGAGCACTCAGTCCCTGCTCCGTGGCCAAGCCGAGTGCCACCCRTGTTAATTGTGGAAGTGCTTCCTGCCTCAACAGCCTGATGGGGCAAATTGCTGCAGATTAATTATTCAGAGTTGGTATCGTTTCACAAACACCATTTGCACAGTGTAGTTTCTGCACAGAAACAGTCAGTGAGCACTGAAGTCAACGTGGGGAGACTTAAAGTGTGTGGGACCCACTACTGATTCCCCCCTGAATCTGATAAATGGGGGCTTTCTTTGAGGTACATGCTGACCGTCTTTCAGGCTCCTGGCACGGAGCAGGAGAGCGAGAGGAACTGAAATCCAACTGGGATTTTGGTTTTAAGTATTGCTGCCCACCGGGGGAAAGGGCCTGGGAAGACTTTCGTCACCTTCCGCAGGCCAGAAACAAGATCTGTCCCAGGGAACAGAGTAACAGAGAGGGGAAACTCACGTCCAACATTAATAAAAACACACTCGTACTTCCTCCTCGCTAAGTCCTAAACTAATGAAAACCAGTCCGTGCTGTTCAGCACCACCACGCTCTGATGCGGATGGAGTTTTGAACTATGCAGCCACAGAAACGATCCTTTTCCCATGCATTAGGTGTGCTAGCCAATGTGTCCAGCCTTATTTTCCAATGCCTGCCTGTCCTCACGGCCTGCAAAACAGCAGCCACCAGAGACCTCGCTGGCTACTGCCAGTACCTGGGAGAACAGACTTGGAATTTTAGCCTTTGCAGTCCACAAAAACTGCTACTCTTGGATGCTGCGTTTAGCAGAAACATGAAGTTTTGCCTCTCGTTTGGAGGTGTGCATAAAAACAAGGGAGGAAAGCAGAAAAATTGAAAGGAATCCAGTGCCATCTAAAAGCAGGCAAAAATCCAACGCTACCGCAGAACCTTTTAGAGCTCCATCCGTCTGGTCCCCTCCTATTGATTTCATCTATCGATGAAACTCCCAGCACAGCGCAGCTCTTCCCCTGGGCAGCGGGGCACTCGGGCTCCATCCCCTCCGCGCGGCCGGGAAGCTCCATGCGCCTCTCATCCCATGTCGGTCATGGCGCAACCATCGCCCCAACAGGAAAGGCTCCAACACAYGGACCCTTGGGTGGTACCTGGAGCCCTTGCTGGTTCCCAGACCCATCACCATTTAGAGGTTTAGGAAAGGGAAGATTTTAAACCATACTGTCAAGTGGAGAGAAGCTTCAGGCCGCCCAACGCGTAYCTCCGGCCGGGGAGCGGAGACGTCTCCTCTTTGGTACCAACCTCAGCTCTTCCCAAGCAGGAGAGGCTGGGCAAACAGCTTCCTATTGCTCCACGGGAAGATTAGCAGAGCCTGAGAGCTTTTAGTTTACCTTTTAGGATTATCCAGACAATATTAGTGCTGAGAAGCAGCTATGCAAGAAGGCGCTTATTTATATCCTGAGTATTTTCAGAAACTAGGTGCCCACAACGTGCCAAGCAAGTCAGTCTTCTTGCGGAAAATAAAGCGTGCATCTCAAACCTGGGAAAGCCAACAAGGAGAAATCCATGTTTTTCTGCAAAACATTATAATGTTTTCTGTAAAACATTATTTGATACTGCAGCCAGCTGCAAAACTGCCAGAGATCCATTTCTAGAGGCGGCAGAGGCCTATTCGCCTTGCAGCRGCCTAACACCCGCCTCTGCAACAGGGAGATGCATAATTTATAGAGAGGTTTCCCAGTTATGCCAGAACACAGCAAATGCACCATCAATATTTTAAATACTGAGGCCTAAATTGAAAGCAACTTCTGCAATCTCACTTTGCCTCTCAACTAGTGGAAACAAAGCAGAAAAATCAGGGTGAAAATAAAAATATGCAGGGGACCTTTTAACACGGAGCTTCTCTGAGACCAGAGGTGGAAAATCTCATATTTTAAGGACGCAGCCTTAGCCAAACAGCAGCAAAAACCTAGCGGACTTTCCTCTATATAACTAATTTTAAAATAATTTCATAATACCAATGTGAGACTGTATATGTTTATTCATCGTCAGTAATTTTTGTACACAAGGCAAATATTAATAGCTGAAAGGCAACATTTTTGCAGAGTATGTACACAGCAATGTACAAGCAAATTTAAGAGGTTTTGAACTATTAGTCAATTTACCCATTTTATAAAAAGGAAGTGATGCTTTTTTCTTCTACGACCTCCTTTAGAAATAATTTATTGCCAATCTTAAACTAAAGCAAGGAGAAAAAAAATTTACAATAAAAAGTAGTCCCTGGAAAGTTTATAAAAAGTTAAACATATAAAATTGTAAGCCACAAACATTTATACAAAGCTAATACAAATCTTGGTTTTGTTAAAGATCTATGAGGTTGTTACAAAATATATTTTTACATAAAGGCTTCACGTAAGGTAAGCTCTCACTGCTACTGAAAGCGCAGGAAAGCGGTTTTAAATAGTCGGCAATTCAATTTATTTTCAAGTACAACGCAAAGAAACTGCAAAATGGCACTGTATTGCAATGTTGTGTAATTAAAAAAAACATACAAACTATGTTAATGGTACCATCAAATAGGCAAGACCTGTAAAGCTGACTTGTGAACAGAGAGTACAGAACATTTCTGATCGCTCTGAAACGGGAAATGGCATCACTGGAAAAYGAATCTTCTGCAATCGCCCTCAAAGAGAAGGGCCTGGCGGCGGCTGCAGTCAGCAAAGGGCATGTTAAACATGCGTGATTCTCAGTCTTTAAGCACGGAATTACTCCTAAACATGAGACTATAACTCCGCTTAGTACTCTGTTCCTGTTTTTAAACTAAAAATTAAGAAAATAAGGCAAAACTCAGACAAAATTTGGCACTATGGGGAGCGCTGAGCAGGCAACCTGACACTGATCAAGCTCCCACCGAGTGCCCTGGGCTGGGGACACTTGGGACGGCCACCTCGCCTGAGCAAACCCAGCCTAATTCTGAGGAGCAAAACTCAGAGCCACCACTAGACAGGCAGGTCTAAATAAACAGCCTTTGACATCAAGGAACCCATTGGATTTTTTTTTCCCTTTTTTGAAGTCTAAAAGAACTCTTAAATTTAACACAAACTGATGGCTTAAGCTCCCACATACAACAGCTTGAAAAAAAAAAAAAAAGCAGGAATTTTTATGGCCCTGGGGATCAGGCACGGTTTTCTGGTGTTAAACAACTCAGTTTAACACGCTGCAGCAGGGAACGTTTGCTAAAACTCCGATTTCACCATCAGTGCACGAAGGCCGGACAAGGCAGGGGTAAATCTCAATATGTCACCCATCAGTGACCTTTTTAACCAGCTTCTCTGCCCTGAACAGAACTAAAAAGCTCAGGAACCTTCCTGCTCTTTACAAGAAACCCTGACCTAGGACCTCGGGGGGGTTTTAAACCACGAAGTCTCACTCTTATCAGGCAGGGGTGACTCACTTGTTTGCTTCAGGATACACATCAGTCTGCTCAACAATATCAATGGCTTCATCTCTTGTACCAGAGTGATATTCTGCCATAAAGAAACAATATTTAGCAACAGATCCACAAAGAAATCCCTTTGCAGGAGCTGACACGCGGCACGTTTGGAGGTGGGGAGCCCAAGGTGTATCTGCTCAGCCAGGATGTCCATGCAGAGGAGCCGTGTGAGCGGCTGCAGCAGCTCCCCAGCCCCTTCAGAAAGGTGGGAGAAGGCCACAGGATGCAGGGATTTCATCAAATTCATTAATTCCTGCCTAAGATTCAAATAGTACTTGCGTACCAGGACCTGCTTGGTCAGCACTGACCCATGTTCATCTCAGAAATGGCGAGTGCCTGGGAAATATTGATAACATCCTTGGACTGGCATCAGTTTTGAGGATCTTCAAGCAAGTTAACAGATCCCTTGATTAAAAAAAAACATTTTGCATAAATGAACTTGCTTAGACAGGCATATTCTCAGTAGCTTTCGTATCAGCCAATATCCAGTCTCAAGTCTCCTTTGTAATCACCTCGTCTGCCATCGTGCCGAGCACATACCACAGACCCTCTCCAAATTAAAGCTCGTTATCAAGCGAGCAGACAGTCTCCTCTGCAAGAAATTTGTTCAAACACTGTCAGCAATGGAGGGGATGAAAAAAAAAAAAAAAGACTATTCTCCCCGTCGTGGATTTGTTCCCATGGTTAATTACCACCTCTAGAAGGGTGTGGATTTGTTCAGCTGCCAGACTGGACTTTGTCCTGCCCTGTCAAGGTTGTTAGACTAAGGTGTGTTGCTGCTGACCTAACATTTATAACTCAACCCAACCAACCTGTAAACCTTCTTCCAGGAGGAGGAGAAGAACTTTCTGACCTCGCTGCAGGCAGGCTGGCCAGTCTTTCACATATCCTCATTAATCTCTTGTGCTATCTCTAGTTACACATTCTTCTTCACTTGCTCATACAGGAACTAAAGATGTCAAAAAAGGAGCAATCATCTCCATGCCTAATAAGAAGGTAACAACTACATGAAATATCCCCAACCTCAGATCATATTAACCCTTCTGACTTCCTTGCTGCAGTCAGGCTTTTAAAAGATTATGCACTGTGACTTCTCCCAAGCTCTTCTCATAATTCTTCCCTCCTAGAAATAGTGCCTCATCAAACAAATCAGACTAATGTTTAAGACTTATGATTGCTGCCTGGACAATATTAAAAAATAAAGATATTCTGAAGCACTTAACTGAAGTGCACATCCACTATTCCCTTTCTAATGGAAGGGGAATGAGGTACAGAGATGCTAATAGACCTTACAGTAAGTAGAAGGCAAAGTTCAGAAGACAGGGAGCTTCCCGTGTTCTAGCAACATCATCACACGTGCAGGGATCCTGCTCAAAGCAGTTTAAATATTATATCCTACCTCTGGCCACATATATGTTATAAAAAAAATTATGGCCAGCATCATCAACCACAGGAATCAGCTGTTTCCCTGGAGCAAAGGGGCAAGCAGAATATCTAAGTGGAACTACAGGCTGGAGGAAACCTGGTAGTGGCACCACTCTCTCCAATACAACTTGGCAAGCTTACTTTTATTTACTAGTACTCTGTGTGGTGTATGAAGATAGCTGTTCAGCTACATGGTCACGTTAAAGTCCCCCTGCCCCTAAAAAGAAGAAAAAAAATAGAGAGAGAGAACTGCAAAGGAGCTTTTGGTAACATATTATTAGTCACGAGCAGTACTCTATGCTGTGCAATGTATTTGGCTCAAGTACACTTAGGATTGCTAGACCCAGCTGGAAAGTCTCGGAGAGACTCTCGTCACCTGAAGCACATTCTGCTGTGACAGGTCACTCTTTTTTTCCAAAAACATTCATCTTAGTGGTGTTAGCCACACAAGGCCTCTGCTGGGAGCACCCGCTCACATAAGGCCACTGAAAACACTGTGGGAGGACAGAAGGCCGCGAGGCACTTCAGTTTGCGAGCACTTCCATCCATCACCAAGCGCTCCCTGCTGAAGCACAGGCACGCTGCATTAAGTTAGGAAGAAAGTAAAAAAAGAAAACAAAACAGAAAACCCACAGTGATAATATTAAAGCCCTTCAAGATCAGGTAAGGTACCTACGCGTAACATCTGGTTAGTGGAAATAAATACGAGTTTAGCTTGTTCCCCCTTCCCACATCAGAATCCGAGAGAACCGTATCATAGTGCTCGGTGCTTTGTCACGGCTCTAGGATGTACTTAAAAGATACAACATTGTGAAGGAGTGTGCTGTGCCATCCACTAACTCCTGCTCGTTAGACTTCTGCCTGCGTTAGTACTTCCTGCCAGCTATGTCTGAAGTTCCCAGTATAAGTATTTTTAAAGCACGGTCTAATCAAAACCCATGCACAGATTTCTATTTAGAYAGGAAATACATTACACCAGGTATCCAAGCTTTAAATAGATGATTTCAGCAAGGGATTTATGGAATTTCTAACCAATAAAAGACCTGAGAAATCATAAGTTGGCTGTGCAATCAGTCATCTTTACGAAGTTGAATGTGAAGAGTTTCTTTATAGTTACTGCCAAAATCTAACAATTGCATCCATTTCACTGAAGGCTGGACTCAGAATTGAGCAGGTGTAATGAATTTTCTAGTTTGGAGGTTGATTTTTATCATTCATGCTCTTAAAAGGTCCAATTTATATCACTTTACAGGYAACTTAGACATAGGCTTGCTATAAAACAACAACTTGAGTCAACTTGAAGCTACACTGGAAGAGATTAAGCCTGGATTTCTGCAGAAATTGGCAATAATGTATTCAGCAGCAGCTTTTAGCCACGTATCAAGAAGTCCGACAGGATCTGGATTTCTCTATTCCTGTTGTAAACTTCTAGTTAAAAACAACACACAAAAGTTATTCAAATAAAAATGTCTTTTTGCACATCACTGTAGCATAAGCTGCTTGAGGTTATCATGAAGGATGGTATCCTTGACATCACGGAAAACTAGTCGGATGTTTTCTGTGTTAATAGCAGTGGTGAAGTGGTGGTAGAGCGGCTTCTGCTGCTGGTCCCGGCGTTTGGTACGAAAACAATCCACTAGGAATTTTTGGACATCTGTTAAGCAGTGGGGATCCCCTTCAAACTCTGGGAAATAGTCTTTGATGCTCACTTTTTGTACTTTTTCCTCGAGTAAGTCCGTCTTATTTAAGAAGAGAATGATGGAGACGTTGCTGAAAACCCGGTTATTGACTATCGTCTCAAAAATGTTCAGGGACTCCGTGAGGCGATTCGTCTGCCGGTCCTCCATAAGCACCTGGTCAAACTCGCTCGAGGAGACGAGGAAGAGGATCGACGTGACGCTGTCGAAGCACTCGAACCAGCGCTTCCGTTCGGACCGCTGGCCACCTACATCAACCATTTTGAAAGGCACGTTTTTGATTTCGAAATCGTACTCGTGAATTCCTTTCGTGGGTTTTCGTGCCAGCAGAATGTCTTGTTGTGATGGAAGATAATCCTGAAATAAATAAATAAACAAACAAACAAAAATAAAGCAGAGTTTCCCAATTAGGACACAAATCACAGGCATGGTGATTACAGTTGACTTGCAATCTAGAGAAAAGCTTGCAGAGGAGCAGCGTGAGGTTTGGAACAGATACATGCATGCATATTTATATCTTAACACTGAAGCACTTTGGAAAATCTAAAGTCCAAAGCAGGGGAAATACAGAATTAAATCAAAAATATTTACTCCAGGGAGCTGTAGCTTTCCATTTGTCATATGGCAAGCATCCATAAGCAGCAACAAAAGATGCAGCATGACTGAAAGGTGCACCATGAATTCCTTAATGCGATTTCCCTCATTCTGAGTTACTTTATGCTTCGTTCTTCTCTTCCCACAAAGCTGGACACGCTAGTTGCCACCACACTAGCTGTCGTACTAGTTGCCAAAATGGGAATGCAGTAAAGAAGGGCTAAAACAGTCAGGTTCCTCAAATTAATAACCAGTGTCATACCCTGTTCTAAATATGAGCACTTGATTCCTCCCACATTCACATGCGTATTGTGTAAGCRACTCAAAAAAGGGCAGTGACATCAGTTCTGCTGAGCAAGTCATTTTTCAGACCGCCAATTAATCATGCCAGAAGTGTCAAACCTAACCAGGTCTCTGCACTGCGCCRCGGGCAGCTTCCTCTTTCTGGAAGATCTGCACCTAAGAGGTGGCTTCARTCTAGCTGCGTGACACCTGTGAGCTCGCCCTGCCTGAGTCTGCCCACAACTGAGCTGCCAGCAGAGGAAGGGCAGGGGAAGAAGCAGGAGCTCAGGACGTCGCAGCCTTCGCCCGCAGTGCTGCCTAGGAGGGTGCCCGAGGCAGCTGCTCCTGCATTTGTGCAGGGCGCCTTTTCCTCCGCACCAAAGCACGCAGAGGAAGTTTCCGCAGTCCTTACGTTCGCAGCCATCTTCACTGAAACGAGATGCTCGCAGGAGGAGGTGCTCGCGTTAGCTTTTGCTGACATGAAATTCTCAACTCAAACTGGGGATTTCTTCATTCTAAGAATGACACCTCCTCACATGGTCCAAGTTCTTCCACTTTTGAGGAAGTGCGTCTATAACAGACAGCTTTAGCTGAGATTTACAGCTCTGTTTTTCACCTGTTATGAAAATCTTCCTTACATTTTTCCAGCATTTCTTACAACATCAGAGACGGTGGTTTAAGTTTCAGAGTTGGAAACTAAGTCTCTTCTCAGGCAATAAACAACTGTTGAAGATCTTCCTTTGAGAATGTCAGGCAAAAAATGCAATTAAAAAAAGCAATTAAAATCATGAGTTATGTATAAAGATCCAACTATTAAAGGACCCTTTTGCTTTATTATGGAAGTTTGAAAGCAAAACTAAAGAGGGGCTGTTTTGTCTGAACTTCTGGTCTCTCTATTCAAGCTGTTCCAGATTAGGGCACTGATCTTTATCAAGGTTGCAGTTACGACACAGCTCTCCAGCACAGACTCTCCAGCCGCCCTTCTTGCTATTGCACAGGACAGAACAGCCACAAGCTGCACCACCTGAACCTACAGGAATGCTCGGAAGCAACACCAAACCTCCTCCAAAACCCAATGCAGCTTTAAAAATTAATAAGACTTCATTGCATTTAACTTTTGTCTTTTTTTTTTTTAACCACCAAAACTGTTAGAAGAGGAGGACAATCAAAATTAGAAGAAATGTCCTCATCAAGGGGCACTAAATAGGTGAGAAGGGATTTTGGATAAATTCGAATGTTAACATTTAGGAGAAAGGATGGAACAGGTTAAATCTTTATCCCCTCTTTCAAACAGGACTGCCTATTTTTTCTCTTCTGTTCAGAAGGTTCATCTCAAAGAAGTTCTCAGGGAAAATCAACCAACAACATGCACCTTAGGACAGTCTGAAACAAGAGGTAAAGCCACAGTCACTTTCTGCACTGAAATTAGCACACAGCAGATCACTTAGCAGTTGACCCTGACCATTTATACAGCAAAGACCGAACTCCTAACCCAGAATTCCTGACAAACTCACTCCCAAGTATTATTTCTCATTTAGATGCTTTCCCCACACACATTTTATGCCAGAGGAGGGCTACCCTGATGCAGCAGCCTGCAGCGAGTGCACTGCAAGCGAGCGCTTGGTGCGGAGCCACCACTCAGCTACAGCAGGCTAAACACATTCCTGAAAAGTGCATTAAAATACTGGGAGATTTCTTGAAGGATAATTTAATTCTCATCTCCCTTTTGCACAAACTGCTCGGAAACCACCAGCTTCCTTCCATAGTCATTCTGAATTAGGTCCTTTTTCCATTTTTATTGTTAATACGATTTTCTGTAAGTGAAGCCTTCTGCATTAGGCTGTTTCCTAGGGCCAGCACTTGCTGTCATTTCCCAAGTCTTGTTGACTCTTGCTTGCTGTCACTCTGCACCTTTCCTCCCAAACCCACTCTCTTCAACTCCTTACCCACTGCCAGCAGAAGCAACAAACTCCTACAAGGAAGGAAGCAGATTCTCCTGTGCCAGGGGGCTGCTCTTACTCTGCTGAGCTGACTAATCTGACCAGCCACTCCTCCTCCCCAAATGCTGCTGCCTTCAGCTCCCTCTCGGCAAGGCACGTGAAGCAGAGGTCCATCTGCTTACAAGCAACCCAGCTGCAGCCAGCGCACTCGCATCACAGATCAGATAAGAACAGTAAAATACTTATATTAGCATATTAAGCAACTCTTACAAATAGATAAGAATAAAGCAGAAGAACTTATCAAATCTTTCAGTAACAAAACTTACCCAGCACGTCCCCTGCTCCCCCCAAGTACTTAATGTTTTCTATGACAGCAAATCTTAGGAAACCTCCGCATCTCAGCRGCCTCTGGTCTGACTCTAAAGCAGAAATGCTCTAACTCACAACCTGGAACTTCAAACCAGAAATGCTCTAACACAGAACTCGGCCTTCCAACAGAGCAGATCTCTAATTCACACGTATTTTTTGAGCAAACTAATAACTATCTGGTCTCATGCATTAAGGAAAGAATAGGTCAGCATTAAGGAAAGAACAGGTCAGAGAAGCTGCAGAAGTTTGTACCTGTAACAGGTTCTTGTGAAAAATACGTATGATTTTTAAATTTGGTAAATAAGCATGGAGGTAATGTTATTTTTACAATCTTTTGGCTGCATAACCATTTGTAACTTGCTTTTTGTTTAATTTCCACAGAAGTTGTATTTGCAGACAGCCTCTTGGCCTTTGCTTTGCCTTGTGTTTGTGTCACGGCAGCRACGAACCACTGAGATAGAGAAGCAAAGTTACTGAGGATAAAGCCAGGAGAAGAGCACAGTTCATCTGCTTAAAACCCAATAGTSACAAAGACTATCTCAAATTCATAGCTAAAACAAACAAACAAAACACTTACTTGCTCTCCAAGTTTATCCAAGTTGTCCAAGAAGTATTTTACAGATTCCCCCTAAAAAACAAAGCAAACAGCGTTTAAATAAGCAGCACAGTTGAGCTCAAGAGATTTACCTAAATTAACGGGCCTTCAGAATGTAAACTATATAACTGTTGCTAGCTTTAATTACCTTTTTTTTAAGCCATCAATATCGAGAGCATAACTAAATTCTTATTTTTAGATTGGTTAATATTCAAACTTTAAAGGCACAAGCTGTCATGTTCATAATATTTATTTTTTTTCTCAGGTTTAGAATGCTCAGTAAATTCTGTGGTGCTATTTACACTGACCGCCCATGAAACACCCACTGAATCGGACGCCTTCATTATGAAAAGCTGCATTAAAACCCTCCAGAATTGGAAGAATTGAGTCTGGTTGTACAAACATTTAGATACAGAAATTAATCACTGGAGATGAGCCCACATATAAGAGCATTGCCATATGATCCCAGGCACTGYACCTGAGCGCAGCAAGTGTTTAGCAGAAAACTGCAACAGATGAAGCTAAAGTTCAAGACAGGCTACACTTTAATYCCCTATATGGGGCTATAAGCTGCAATGTTCCATATCTCACCTACTATATGTTCCACCTGCCAAATTCAAGACACCACCCCACAAACAGTAAATGCAGCTCTTAACCCTGATAACACAAAACTAACGTGAGCCTGARCTGGACGACTCTGCAGAACCCTACTAGTGCACTGGGAATAAGGGGAAGGAGGGATTTGCCCACTGGCACCGCTGAACCCAGTAACAATAATTTAACCCCATTTACAGTAATTTAGGATTTTGGCACCATCTTTCTGAGAGCTTCCCGGCCCAAGGCCAAACGCAAGAGGCCGCAGAGCCACCCCAGTCCTAGCTGCAGAGCCAGGGCAGGGCAGGTTGGAGGCGGGTCCCGCCACGTGCCCATGGGCAGCACCCACAGGCAGCACCCACAGGGCCTCCCCGGAGCAGTGACACCTGTGCGCTGCTGCCTGGCTCTGCTCCAAGMCACATGCCATGGGAAATGGTGCTCGGAGGGGCTCCTGAGCCAGTGTCTCTGACTGCGTTTATTGCAAGTGGGGAAGTCTCAGCGCCAGGACAGAAGGCAGGAGCTTCCCTTCAAAAGCTCTGAATTATCAAGCAGGATCCGACTTTCTGAATAGTAAACACACAAAGGAAACCTGTATTCCTACTCGGCAGATGGGAGAATAGAAATTCTGGCAAAAYTGTCTTGATGGGGAATCCTTAAGTATCCAAAATAGGGACAACTGCTGGAGCAGCGAGGCAGGACAGCAAGAGGCTCCTGACAAGGACTCTCTCCTCTGCAGTCTGAGCTTGCAGAGTTATCTGGGAGGACTCTGAAACCTCAGTATTAACCCATGTCACCCAAGCAGCCATAGGACAACAACGTAAAGCCACAGCCCCAAAGGGGCTCTGGCAGGTATATAACMTAGGCATCTTTGCAGGCACTAAAGAGGGTCACACAACGAAAGGAGACAAAGTCCCTGAGCAGGCAATTAGAACAGCAACCTTTAATTAGGCAAGGCCAGACTTTTGTTGAAACTTGCCTTGTGCTCGACACACCTGCAGGGACAGAGTCCAACACAGATCTACCACCACCACCTACCTTCTGCTCGTCTTAATGCTGCCTGCTCTCCGGTGACAGGCTGCAGCAGGACAACTAACCATTTTAAAGCTGCCTTGGAGCAAAGCAGTGACTTTTCATTACRGATTTTATGACTGCATTTTTTCACTATTTTAGAAATCCATTCGAATCTCACTCCTGTACGGGAAGTTCAGGGGAGACAACATTCCCATTATATAGAGAAATAGGTTTATGCACAAGGTTGTGCGTATAAATCTATCAGGAGCACTTYTGCTTCATGCTTCCCAAACAGCAGAAATTCAGGAGGCCTGAATTCTGATCCTAAAACCACTGCCTTTAGCTGAATGCTAACGACAAAGTAATATTTAAGGTCAGGCTTGATTTCTTTTTCAGATTCTAGTAGGAGCTGAGAAAACCCACACTACTGTGCACAAGTCAGCCAGGTTTCAGACTCGTTAGCTGCAGGCATTTACTGTAAAACACTCGTACCTCAGAGCCTATAGATATGCATCTATGTATATAYGTATTTTGATCTTAGCTCTTTTTATACTCCTCACAATAATGTCCACCCTGTAAATCACACTGACCTTGCAGTGCTGCAAGGCACAAGTTGGTGCCTCTCCCTTCTATGCCAGGAGCTTCTGCACCTGCAAGGGACGGAGCTGCTCTAACCCACAAGAAACCCACAGCCTGCAAAGGTCACAGGAAGGCTTCCCAAAGAGGGGGTTTTCTGCAAAACGCATCCCAGCAGCATCGCTCTAGACCCACACAAGGCCCTAGCAGCCGAAAAGCAGATGGAAAAGACTGCTCAAGGTTTCAGGCAGCCGTAGATAGAGTTTCGTGGCAGATGAGTATCACGGTGGGTGCTTTGAAAGCGCAGCGGGGTGAGGTATCAGGGCTGCTGCTCACAGTGGTGACGTAGCCCTTCTCCTCCTCCACAAATCCGATTTATTCACCGGGTGATTCCCTTACCAAAATCCCTTCAGACAACTGCTATGACACACCAAGGAAGTGTGTGTCAACATGACTCAATCTAACATTATCTTTAAAAATAGTTATTCAAATGCTGACTTCTAAATTTTTCATTCACTGGGAGTTTACAAGGGCTTCAAACGCATGATCTCTTTTTACTTCATATTAGAGGCATCTCCTTACATTACACAGCTACAAACCAACGCCTCGACAGAGGTCATTTTCCATCTGTTTTGGACTTCTCAGGGCAAGGGGGCTAAGTGCTGCTAACTACAGACATGCTCTTGAATTGGAACCTACCATGCCCAACAGATCCTTATCAGAACACGCTACTGCAAAAAAGCAGGTTTGACCCATTTTAAATAAGCTTCAAAAAGGCACCATTACAAAACAATCAAGCAAGACTTCAGATCCTTTTTGAAATGTGTAAGTCTTTGGAAAAAACATCCTCAGTATCATATAATATCAACAGAGAGAAAACCCCATACTACCAAGGAACACCTTAATTCCAGCAGTTGCTAAAGCTTAGCAAGAGAATGATCCATGCGCAGCCCTGCACAACTAAAACCTAACCAAAAAAAGAACAGAATTGTTTCTCAACTAGCCTGCTTTTCATTACATTAAATATAGTACTAGATCTCACATCCTATAAACTGAAGACTGTTCAACCACATTCAGGCTGCTGCCTGTAGGTTGTAAAATTTCCCTTTTGACTAACTGCAAGTTATCTGGTTTACCCGAGATGACTAGAAAATCGAAGCGGAGTTCCCCTCCCTGCTTAATGAATTCATTAATGAATGAATTAATTCATTTAATGAATTAAAGTTCATTTAAGTTGAACTTTAATGAACTTAGAAAAATCTCTTCTACCAAGAGGTCCTTGAACAAGTCACAGTCCAGAGCTACAATTGTATTTTTTATATATTAAAAAAGTTACACGGTTTCTATCAAATTCAGGAGCAGTGAAAAATATAAATACCGTCTACTAAGTAAGTAAATTTCAAAAACAACTGCAAGTATCAGCTATTCTCAGGCAGGCACCCAAAACTCATCCAAGCTAAATATAAAAAGAGATAAGGCTACCGATACAGCACAACTCCTTTGCACAGAGCTAACATATTCATAAAAGATCACATATTATATAACACAGCATGCTTCTAGGCAGGTGATATGGAGGGTTTAACCCAGTTACAGGTGAATGCTTTTGATGTGTGTGCCTATTTTTTTTTTAATAGTTAATGCAGGTGAACTTTAAAATTATTTTTACAGTCGAGCAGCTCTGAACTTCCAACCTCTGAAGTGTGGTTTAAGGTTAATAACAATTTGCTTGCTACACCACACAGACCGTGGAGCTCGTCCACTTCCCATTCCCTTATATCGAAATTAAAGCAGGTGCCCAAAGATGCTAATATCAATGGTAAAGTAAAACCTAGGTTTAAATGTATTTCTGGTATGCACATTGACCTGCAGAAACTTGAAGCAGTAAGCACTAAAATAAAGCTGTTTTCTTGAATATAAAGCAATGCAGTCAAATGAATGACTTGCACACTACCTTCAGAGACCTTACAGTGTTAGAATACCGTGTTATCTTCAACTTTAAGCCATCACTTTGCATGCAGAAGATGCACTTTTTCATTTAATTGGAACATGCATCTCAGCTGCAGCCCTTCAGCCTCCTCCCGATTCAGAAATGCATGTAAACCACAGGAAGTTGACTGTTAAATAGCTTTATTCATAACTGTCAAGGATCCCATTTTCAGAAAGGTTTGATTCAAAACAGCTTGTGCCACTCCTGCAGTCTTGGGATCCCAACTGAAGAAAGCCAGGCCAAGCTACTTGGTCAGGAACATACGATTCATTTACCAGCTACGAAAAAATCCCTCTAATTCATGTTCTTATCAAATTGCTTAGATGCTACAACAACAGCTACCCCAGCGATACTGCATTTAATTTACTTGTCTAGCTCATGCCTGCACAATAAGACATCTTAAAGTTTTAGGTAAGGCACATATTACAAAAACAAAACTGGTCATTTACCTACAAGGCAGCAGTGCAGTACAGCTGTGCCTATGTGGTCTTCTGAAGCCCAACAGATTCTTTTTTTTTTTCTTTTTTTCTTTAAACAGGAAGATTACAATCTAAAATGCAGCTATTTAGTGCCTAAAGCAAAATAACCACAAAAATACTTTGGAGAAAAAAGGCCAGATGAATTACACAACAGATGAACGTATCTTTTCAACCCAGGAAGTGGCACCAATTGATTTGGTTTCCATGAAAGCACTGTCAGCAATCATAATATGATCTGTTGAAAACTTTAACATAGCCAAATTAGTTTTAGCTCTTTTAAAGGGATCATATATAAGACATTTTAAATAATTTGTYACAAAAAAATGGGTTTAAAAATAAAAAATATCCAAATATTTTTCTTCTTATAAAATAAGACATCAGCCATC